TGTTGAGCATGTATATATGTTCAGAGTAATTAGAGTCACAAATGTATGGTGTGTGAAATGGAGAAAGGTGAATTGTGGGTAATGAGTGTGAATGATACATAATTTTGCATTTTACTCCTGTATTGCCAAAGGACTTGCATGTAAACAGGGGATTTTGTAGTCTAATGAGCTAATTATGTTTTATTGAAGAACCTACTTGGTTCTGTGCAGAATCTGGATTTGAGCCTTCAACTCATTTACCACTATACCACCTACTGGTCAGAGGATCCTCTGGTCACCATAGAGCCTGAATAAATGCTCCTCATCTCATATATCTGCTCAAGCCGCCTTTATTGTTACATGTAATGGTTGTATAATGGGGGGGGGGGGAGATGCAGACATGGATTTATCTGTATGCATCTATTTAGCCCACAGACCCACCTGCTCTGCCCCCCACCCTCATTCTCTCACTCGCTTTCTTACATGGGGACCGTTCTCTATATATATTTTATGTCCCACTGAAGAGCCTTTTACCATAAATTGTACAGAAATCATAAGCTCTCCATTTGCTGGACAGATGCTATTTCTCCTTTAATACGTTCTGTGCACTCTGTCCATTCCTATCACTGTGCTGGAATGCTGCTGTGACCTTTTTGGTGGAAAGTATACATCCATCCATCCATTCATCTTCCTCAGTTTATCTGATTGCGGGTCCTGGGTGCAGCAGTCTGAGCAGGGATGCCCAGACCTCCCTCTCCCCAGCCACCTCCTCCAGCTCCTCTGAACCGAGAGATATAATCTCTCCGGTGTGTCCTGGGTCTCCCCGGGGTCTCCTCCTGCAAAGACATGCCTGAAATTCTTCCCCAGGGAGGATTCAGACTGAATCACTGCTCTGTGATGTAGCACATATATTGCCGTGGCATGTGGCCAGTAAAGAAAGTGATGATATGTGTGGAAATATTTGTAATTTTCTTCACAAATCACGTTTTGTCAAGAACAACGTGGACATTGTGTTTTAGGGGGTATTTTCATTGACAGTCAGGTTTACGTGTAAAAACAGGGCTTTTTCCCAGCACCTGCCTGATACACACTGACCTGTGACTGACTGACCACACTTGATTTGTGAAGAAATTCACAAATCAGCCTGGTCAGAAGGAGCCTGGTTGGTCCTGTTTATATGGTTGTCACGGTCGGGCAGAAGGCGATCCGGGAAGCAGGGATACGGAGCCAGGAAGTAGGGCAAACGGGGATTTATTACGGGAAGCAGGACTGGGGAAGAACGACGAGTAACATTAATGACAAGTCTGGGGAAGACTGACTCAGACAAGGACTAAATACAACAGACAAGCTACGGGTAACGAGCCACAGGTGAGAACAATCAGGGAGAAACAGGAGGTAATGAGGTGGGCGTGGCACACATTAGGAGCGGACGGAGCGGGGCGTGACAATGGTGAAGTCTTTTAATTATTTGCATTTGAAAATAAAATGGCAAAGCATAATATCAGCAGATTTCGGGGTGGGGGGGCGACGGCATCCGGATTCACAAATCACAA